TACGGCCGCACCTATACAAAATTGAACAAATATAGACCATGTAGAGGGGACAGTGAAACTCTGGAGCACTTTCTTTGCCATTGTCAGACTTTCGCCCAAATTAGATCCAAATATCTTGAAAGTGTTATTATTTCAACATCCCTAACGAACACTGATTTGAAATTCTTAGGAATTACGTCCAGACAACTGAGTTTCTAAACATCGGACGATAATACATATAGTGAATACTACCAACATTCATTATCCATGAAAAGATGTAGATACATCCTCCTATCAACCTAACCTAACATTATTTTATTAGGAGTTATTGTAGTGTGAAGTTTATAAATTTTAAAGTGTAATTTTTAAAAATTCAAACTTTCTATATTAAAAAAAATTTTAAAGATAATCAAGTTTTTAAAAATTTCTTAAAAAAAATAAGTTTTAAAACGCACATACTTAACGGATGTCATTAACAGTTTCCGTTTCCTTAGATTCTACTCATATTTCAAGATATTTCTCTACATTCATCCTATTGCCATTCATTGTTTAGACAATCCGATTTTTTTTGTTATTAAAATAAGAATAAACTAAAAACTCCAACGGTGGTATTTTACTACGGATTAAAAACTCATACAAAAGATTCAGCGAAGCTTAAATCACCTTTCATATTTATAGGACTAAAATAAAAAAACTCACACTCATTGTTGTCCAACAACAACACTTTATCAATTTTCAATACCTTGGTAACACCACAGGAAATCAAATTCATAAAAATAAAACGATGAAAAAAAAATACATCATATTCTTTGAAAAACTAGCAACAGGAAAGCTAATTGTGAAATAAAAAAAAAAATAATAAAGGAATCATTTGAATATCTTATGACAGGCAGGCCGATAGACAGACAGACATGCGTTCACACAAATGGCAGAAAAAAACAGATTTGAAATTTTAAAATTTAAATACTTTGTACTGCCGATGGTGGACGTTGTTTTAGACACAATGCATGGTGTCGTTTTTTATTACATTTGTTGCGTGGCATTTTTGTAACAAGGACTATTTTCTGTTTATTTTTTTTAACTTACTCTTATATCAATCAATTTTATTATTGTCCTGTCGCTGTTTGACTGTTTTTACTTTTTTTCATTCTAAGTACGAATACTATGTTACGCTTGTGATAATGACATGAAATATTTTACGCTTCGACAGACCACTAAGATTTCCACTTATAGCGCAATATCAACTGTACTCCCAAGAAATTTCTTCAATATTGAAAATATAGATTTCCCCCATTGATTCCTGTTGTTATTTAAATTTTTATTGTTTAACAAAGAGAGCGAAAAAAACGTATTTGATTGTATTGTTCATACAATATTTTACAATTTCCATTAATCTTTAAGTGATACGAGTGTTTTGTGGTGTTTATTTTGTATTTAAAACATCCCATTCCCCTTTTTGCTTCTTCTGGTCCTTGAGCAATTGTTTGGAAATTGACTTTTTCTTGTTGCAGTCAGTCATTCCATTGCCGTCATGTTTATGGTTTTCAATCATAATCATTGAAATATTGTTTTTATTTATATATTTTAATGTTATTTCAGGCATTTGTTGTCTTACCTGCTGTTATCATTTGTTTACAGGACATTTTGTAAGTTTTCTAGTTGCAAGGATTTTCGTTTTCAAATAATTTATAAGGCGAAATATTTTCTTCAATACAATTGATAACAATGAGTTTAATACCCTATACAACTAAAAATCCAAGATCCACTATAAAATACATATGTACAACGAACCAATATCTTTCTCCAGAATTTATTTAATTGGTTCATAGTAATGGCCTTGAGAGTAGCGATCGGGAGGTTATAACAATATGAGAGGCTATATGATGTTTATGATGATTATACCAAATCGGTCCAGAAATATTAAGAAGCTCTATGCTGTCTAAAGATAGGTAAACCCCCCTGAGATATTTTAAAAGATAAACTGACAGATTCAAAACCATTTGAGTCAAATAGAGTGGATTTAAAAGCATGAACATGGAACAGTGGATAGAACCACAAAAATTGTGTGGGGTCTCAATAACCACTTGAGAACCTTATATTGTCAAAACGGTCCAAAAATATTAAGGAGCTCTATGCTGTTTAACGATAGGTAAACCCCCCTGAGATATTTTAAACGATAAACAGACAGATTCAAACCCCTTTGAGTCAAAGAGAGCGGATTTAAAAGCATGTACATAGAACGGTGGATAGAACCACAAAAATTGTGTGGAGTCTCAACAACCACTTAAGAGCCTTATGATGTTAAATCGGTCAAGAAATATAAAGGCACTCTATGCTGTTTAAACATAGGTAAGTCCTCCTCAGATATTTTAAAAGATAAACTGACAGATTCAAAACCATTTGAGTCACAGAGAGTGGATAGTATTTCAACAATACCACCATTCTTGGCAACAATGTGACGAAGTCATGCAGATTCTGTGAACTTCAAGACGAAACCTCCAAAAATGTACTTTGTGGTTATGGCCTCTCAGAACGAGTATTCTGGGAGGTGCATTTGTATCGCCCGTCTAAAACATTACGATTCATACGTGAACTTAATCTTCAATGGTGAACTAAAGGGCTGCACAAAAGATCTTATCTCAGGTCGTAATGCCTCTATCAATCAATCAATCGTCGAACAAAAATGGCACTTTTAGGTTCGACTTTTATTCGACCATGTTAAAAAAAAATAACCCGACTTCCCCATCGTTACAGTTATTTTCAGTTATATACATCCTCCTTTCAAACTAACTAAGTTACTAGTTAGTTAGTTAGTTAGTTGTTATTAGTTAGTTAGTTAGTTCGTTAGTTAGTTAGTGAGTTAGTTAGCTAGTAGTTAGTGTAGTTAGTTAGTTAGTTAGTTGTTAGTGTTAGTTAGTTAGTTAGTTAGTTAGTTCGTTAGTTAGTTAGTGAGTTAGTTAGTTAGTGTTAGTGTAAGTTAGTTAGTTAGTTAGTTAGTTCAGTTAGTTAGTTAGTTAGTTATTCGTTCGTTAGTTAGTTCGTTAGTTAGTTCGTTAGTTCGTTCGTTCGTTCGTTCGTTTCGTTCGTTGCGTTCGTTCGTTCTGTTCGTTTCGTTCGTTCGTTCTTCGTTCGTTCGTTCGTTCGTTCGTTCGTTTCGTTCGTTCGTTCGTTCGTTCGTTCGTTTCGTTCGTTCGTTCGTTCGTTCGTTCGTTCGTTCGTTCGTTCGTTCGTTCGTTTTCGTTCGTTCGTTCGTTTCGTTCGTTCGTTCGTTCGTTCGTTTCGTTCGTTCGTTCGTTCGTTCTTCGTTCGTTCGTTCGTTCGTTCGTTCGTTCGTTCGTTCGTTCGTTCGTTCGTTCGTTCGTTCGTTCGTTCGTTTCGTTCGTTCGTTCGTTCGTTCGTTCGTTCGTTCGTTCGTTGTTCGTTCGTTCGTTTCGTTCGTTTTCGTTCGTTCGTTCGTTCGTTCGTTCGTTCGTTCGTTCGTTCGTTCGTTCGTTTCGTTCGTTCGTTCGTTTCGTTCGTTCGTTCGTTCGTTCGTTCGTTCGTTCGTTCGTTCGTTCGTTCGTTCGTTCGTTCGTTCGTTCGTTCGTTCGTTCGTTCGTTCGTCGTTCGTTCGTTCGTTCGTTCGTTCGTTCGTTCGTTCGTTCGTTCGTTCGTTTTCGTTCGTTCGTTCGTTCGTTCGTTCGTTCGTTCGTTCGTTCGTTCGTTCGTTCGTTCGTTCGTTCGTTCGTTCGTTCGTTCGTTCGTTCGTTCGTTCGTTCGTTTGTTCGTTCGTTCGTTCGTTCTTCGTTCGTTCGTTCGTTCTTCGTTCGTTTCGTTCGTTCGTTCGTTCGTTCGTTTCGTTCGTTCGTTCGTTCGTTCGTTCGTTCGTTTCGTTCGTTCGTTCGTGTTCGTTCGTTCGTTCGTTCGTTTTCGTTCGTTCGTTCGTTCGTTCGTTCGTTCGTTCGTTCGTTCGTTTTTCGTTCGTTCGTTCGTTCGTTCGTTCGTTCGTTCGTTCGTTCGTTCGTTCGTTCGTTCGTTCGTTTTTCGTTCGTTCGTTTCGTTCGTTCGTTCGTTCGTTCGTTCGTTCGTTTCGCGTTCGTTTGTTCGTTCGTTCGTTCGTTCGTTCGTTCGTTCGTTCGTTCGGTTAGTTAGTTAGTTAGTAGTTAGTTAGTAGTTAGTTAGTTAGTTAGTTAGTAGTTAGTTAGTAGTTAGTTAGTTAGTTAGTTTAGTTAGTAGTTAGTTAGTTAGTTAGTTAGTTAGTTCGTTAGTTAGTTAGTAGTTAGTTAGTTAGTTAGTTAGTTAGGTTAGTTAGTTAGTTAGTTAGTTAGTTAGTTTGAAAGGAGGATGTATATACATCCAACTCGAAGAAATACACCTAGGCCTCTATCTGGCCTGTTGTGCTCTCCTTATCCAGTGCCTCAGGTGGGAATCGAACCCACCATCTCCGGTCTACCAGACTATAACACTAACCACTAACTAATTCGCTCCAGACAATTGACATATATGTTTAAAGAACCCCCGAACATTTTTAACAAAATATTTTTCTATAACAACATTTTGCTTATCATATAAAAGAAATAATAACAATGAAAGAAATAATAAGAATGAAATTAATTAAACGTCATGTGTAGTTTTTTAAACTTGTGGTTTGTCCAATACTCAAGGGGGTTCCCTGATCTACAGCATGCAACTACATATAAAGCTAAAAACTTAAAAATTTTATCTTCAAACTGAGTTCATGCGTCTTAAAACTGGAAACCACATAAAATACTCTCTTTCACATTAAAAATCTACAAACATTAAACGCAAATATTTTATCAACTAAATAATACCCTACAATAAAAATAGGTATGTTATATTGTTCATAAATTTGGGTTTGGGTAAAAATGATGAAAAGTAGCATTTCTGTAATAAATCAATTATGAATCGAAATTGCCGACTCATTACTACAACCAAATAACCAATTGAAATTCTCTGATTTAAGTTGCTCTTTTTAAATAAAATTTTTAAATATAAATAATTGAGAATTTAATAAATTCCTCAGTAGTCGTCAAAATTAAATAAAGTCTAGACACAACATGGCGAAATCTTTACAATTTCTGGTGATTTTATTAATTTGCTTGACAAAACTTTATTATATAAATTGTAATGAGAATGTATTTATATCGGGTCTAAAAAATGTCTATTATATAGAAAGTGAACAAAAGGTAAAAATGTTTAATTATCAAAGAAATTCTATAATTAAATGATTCAAATTACAGTTCACTTTCTACGATGCTCTGGCGAAATGTGCTAGCATGAACATGAGTTTGGTAACCATCGACACTAAATTAAAATCTCAAGACATTACCGCCCTATTGACGGATATATTTGGCAAAAGAATACCCCTATGGATTGGTGGTGTTGTCAACGGAAACAATCCTAGACAATTTGTATGGCTTGCAACTGGTAAAAAATTCACTTATACCAATTGGGGTCCTAGTCAACCAGATTTTGCTGGAAATAATGAATATTGTGCTCAAACTGGCTGGACTAATGCTATGGAATGGAACGATCATGTCTGCTCTAATCAGTACGGGTTTATGTGTGAATACAGCCGCTATCATCGATGTCAGGAGGAAATGCAAACAAAATTGCAGGAGGATATGAAAAATCAACAGCATTTTGAGTTGAAAAAAATTGTAGAGGATATGCTGCCAAAATTTAAAAATATTGATGGTGAAAGTCGAACATTTCGTGATATAATTTTAAATATTAATCCATATAATAAATAAAATCGCCTGATAAAAGAGTAATTGCAAAATAATTTATGGTTCTACCCACCTTTTCATTATTTCAATAGGTATTATGGGATTCTCTTACCCATATTTTTAATTCAGCTTTTGTTGCGTCGAGTGGTTTTGCGTTTGTCAGGTTAACTACCTTGAACTCCCTTCTCTTTTAAGCTATTACATTCGCCCTTTCGTTGAAGACTACTCCCGAGTGGCCTGGTACCCATATGATGTAAACCTTACCTCTAGGAGAGTATTCAGTTAAAGATTTCTTACAATCCAATACGGTATTAGATTTAATTCTATTACCTGATATCGCCCTAATTGCCTTCTGGCTATATTAAGGGCTATGGGCGTCACATTTATTCTAATCCAATTACCACATTCCGTCATTGCTCGGACTTCTGCCTGGAAGCTTGTGTTATGATTAGGTAAACTGTGGTATATTTCTCTTTCTGGGTCTTCAATATAGAACCCCAGACCCACGGATTCTTACTGGTATTTGCTCTAATGTTTCGCTAAAACAAGACATTCTATCTGGGATCAGCGTTTCAAAGTTTCCGACATATTCTGTGTTTGGTATGCGATCAGGCTAATACGATGATCGTGTATAACCTTCCAATGTGTCCAGTATACATTGATGACTTTTGGCCAGTTCGCCTATAGTAAAGAGCCGTTCGCCTGTAAGCACCGCCTCATATCTTAAATATGTTCCAGAGCCTTGGTTGAAGTAGAACACATTGAAGCATAAGCTAGAATTGGTCTAATTACACTCTTGTCATAGTAGAACACAGTTCATGCCTATAGTTCCCTACATATCGCCCAACACCGATGTGCCTTGTTGATGTTATCCTCTATGTAGTGTCTCCATTTTAGTTTCCGGTCAAGGATTACACCGAAGTACTTAACTTTGTTTGTCACCGGTATCTTCTTGCCCAGGGAGCAAGGTTCAGTATACGTAGAAAGTTTTGTCTTTCTTGTGAAAAGACAGATTTCCGTTTTGCCGGGTTAACATTCAAGCCTCTCGGTTGAGTCCAGCTCAAGGCCGTATTCAGAGCCTCCTCAGCTCTTCTACATAAGTAATTTGGATTATTTCCAGGCATAAGTCCTTTTTTCGATTAGGGTTCTTAGGAGGCTATTAATCGCGGTAACCCAGAGTATTCACCTATATAGTGAACAACTTCGTTTAAAGCGGTTTCCACCGGTCGTCCCTACACTACTACTAGAACGAAGGGTATTATGATTTGTAAATATTGTTTATAACGAACAAAAATATTGGTTCCACACCTACCTGAGGATGTTCCAATCGACTCAAAATCACTTTCTAATTTGATTTAACATTGTCAGACCATACGTCAACTTCAAGGGATGATATCTAAGAAATTACAGTAGATTTAAACAAAAAAAAATTGAATAGGAAAAAAATTTGAAAAATTGGAATATATAAGTTTTTTTTTTGTAAATTAAATTTTTATCAATTTATTGCTGTATCAAGCTTTAGATGAAGATATCTCGAGGATAATAGATAGCTGGCAGAATGGACTTTCAAATGGTATACAACTTTTTATAAATAAAGTCGTTATGGGGCTGTTATAACGTCGTGGTATTTTTCGAACTTCTGAGGTGAGATTCGGATTTAGAGCTCATCAGCTCAATCTTTTAGAAACGTATACTTTGGTCTCTGGGTTAAAAATTTGCCGGTCTGTGTAATCTAGATAACCTTCAAAAGGTATAAAATTTTAATATTTAATTTTATATAAACATTTAAAAACTAAATGAATTTAATATATAATTTCCGGCCAATGTACTACAGTAGGCTCTTAATAATAACTTTGAATAAACAAACCAAATTGATAAGCCCCCAGCAAAAACTTTGGTAATGGCTTTCAACTGTATTCACACACCTTCTATCATTTAGATTATATAGAAATATAAAAGATATATATGTCTTAATAATGTACATATGTACATATATATGTTTATAATAATAAAAATATGTTTATGACGTGTCCTATAAACCACCAATTTTCCACATTTTCATTTTTTAGTACTTCTGACTGTATACTTGTGTCCCAAATATAAAATTCTGTAATATTACTGAGGTTGCGGATATTGGCCTTCTCTGTCTCTCAGCTCTTATACATTGAGTTATAGAAATGCATTCTAAAAAAATAGCGCGATAGGAGCACGTTAACTGGTGGCACCACGGCTCTGAAGGGGTAAATGATTTTTACAAAAATTTTGGCAGAATGTAAATTTATCTTCTTGGTTAGGTTAGGTTTGACAGGTGGCTGCAGTTTTACTTGGGTCCAATATGATCCCTTTGTAATTTTACCTGTAAGAAGAAGCGAAGAATAGAGATAGTGAATGGGAAAGAGATAGAAGGAAAATGTGAAGAGAGCCCTAGAATAATGATATTAGAAACATAGGTCCAGCTTAGTGTGAAATTGTAGTTTACAACCATTTTGACAAGTTCAGGAATGTAGTGAGTCGTTTGACTCATATTAGGGTAATGTTCGAATGTCCCGCCATCTCGTTTAGTAATCATGGACAAGTTGTGATGTTGAGAAAACACCAATCAGGGACTTAATAGCAGCTTGACTATCAGTATAAATTCTCGTATTCATATTGGATATCCGATAGCACCTCAGCCAATTCGAAGCCATCTTGATCGCTGTTATTTCAGCATAGAGGATACTGCGGGGTTTGTGCATTTTTGGCCTACTGCCAGGACAAATAAACTGCCGTCCCACAGAGAGCAAACAGACCATCAAGCCGCCCAATATGGGATAGACACTTGATGGATTTCGGACTTGCACATCGAAGTGCCGGAATTCATAGAAAATTCAGTGGGACTACTCTGTTGATTGCCCTGTCACAGTGACAGAAGAAGTAATTAGCAGAGTGATTCCTGACAGACCGCCCAATATGGGAAAATAGACGTCTGACAGGTGGGAGGGGTAGTTCTTAGTTTAGTGCTCTTCTCATGACCCGTCTGAAAAGGGTGACCCCTTGGAGGCAGCTAGCTTGAGCAGCATGACTCATGAGATTCATTGCACTTAAGTCTTCACATCGCGACCCTTCGTGAAGGGTTTTTTTATATTTCTCCTTTATTTCATGGTATTTATAAATCTCTACTTGAAGCCTTAATTATGACGTGATTCTATTTAGTTTTCTAAGGTGATTTTGTCAACAGTTAAAAAGCGAGTTTAGCTTTTTTTTAATTTGCATTTATTGTCCTTTACCCTATACATCAATGTTAGTGATTAAGTCCTTAAAGATTTAAAAATATGTCACGTATAGTATTATATCCTTTGCCGTCGCTGATATGAGATTTTCTATAGTCCAACAACAATTGCAATAAAAGCTGACTTTTGTCTAGATTATTTTGAAGTTGTTGTTTATCTGCAACTTCTCGCTGCAACTCCTCTTGGATTTCCTCTTCCCAATAATAGTACTGACTCAACTCACAGAGCATACCAAATGTTTTATGACACTGATGATCGTTCCAACGAAGTTCAGCATTCCAGCCAGTTAGAAGACAAAGTTCAGATTCAGAATAATAACTTGGTTCCCCTGGATTCCAGTTAGTGAAATCGAATTTTTCCCCATTGGATATCCAAACATAATGGTGATCACTACCGGTAGCAGCACCACCAATCCAAAGAGGATTTGGATTGGAAAAGGTGGCTTTCATTAGATCAGTTATATCATCGGATTTTTCCTTCGTATCAATAGTTGCCAAACTCATGTTCATCCTAGCGCATTTTGACAAAGCATCAAACCAGGTATACTATGGAAATTTAGTAATTTATTATTAGTGTTTCTTCTTTATTCCGTTGATAACCTTTTTACCTTCTGTTCATTATCCATATAGTAGACATTGTTCAGTTTCGATGTATATAAATTGTCAATCGAATAGATTGACTGAATTTTTATACAACTTATTAAAAGTATTGCAAATAGCTGAAGCGATTTTACCATTTTATATTTACTAGTATTTGAAATACTATCTATAACTTCAAGTCCTTTGGGGCTATTTATATGAAAAAATAATGTGGGAATTTCAGAAAGTATTTTTATTTATTTAATTGGTACATTGTATAACTATGTTATCAGATACCCTACTGTCGTTAGGTTTGATTTGAATACTATATTTTACTTTTAAATATAATTTTATGAATTTGTAAACTCGCTATCCAAAGGATATATGAAATGTAAAAAAAGGTCCCAAAGTCCTTGATGGACTTCCGATCTAGCATCAGAAGGGAATTTTGGTAAAGCAAAATCTAAGATAAATTCTTCTTCTTTGTCAACATTGTTAATTTTCTAAGATTAAGATATCTGAATCTAATCGCAAAAGGCTCTGATTATATTGTTTATATGTTTGTTTTTCGAAATTGATAAAATCGGTTAAAATACTTGAACATATTTATTCTAATTTAACTTTGCACTAACGCCACATTGAAAATATTGATAAGATCCGTTTATGGACTTTTCATGGAAATCAATTAAGTTGTCAGACCTCGTTTTTTTATGTTACAATTAAAAGTTATCCTACATATATACAAACGAAGTCCAAATATTATGTGACAACACGATATTTAATCGGCTCTTTACGAATACAACACGAACTGTTGAAACAACATGATAACTTGCAGCAATATATTGACGATGTTTTTAAAGCGTTATAACGTTTGGTCCGCTTGTCAAACAAAAGTAGAGTATTATCATGTTGAAATTACGGGTCTTCAACATATTAAGACATGAAGTTCAAACTCTGTCCCAACAGCAACATTTAAATAATTGCATAGTATTTACTCTCATTTAAAGAGTTCTCGATCCAGAGATTCATCTCTATTAAGATGAAGATCAAAACTAAAAACTAATATCTTAAAATTAAATATTCCATGTGTATATGTAATTGAATACTTTGTAGGAACATATTATTATTTAAATTAATTAAAAATTTAATTATACCAACTAATTAACAAGTAATTAGTAAAATATATTAATACAAACGCTACAATGATTGCCGACTTAATCCCTACATTTTAATAAGCAGCTGTTAATATATTTATTTTACATTTTCTTTAACAATGAAAATATTAACTTATTTATTAATTAGATAATAAAAATACAAAATTAAGTAAACTCATATTGAATAGTATTATTTATTGTAAATATTTGTCATTCGTAATCTTTTTATATTGAGAGTTAAGAAACAACAAATAAAGACTTTAATTTTAAAAACTTACTGATGTTTTACAATAATAATAATATTTTTAATCTATTAAGTACATCTCTTCTTAATTATACCCTACACCACTTTAGTAGGGAGGGTATATTGGATTTGTGCTGATGTTTGTAACATACAAAATATTCGTCCTAGACCCACCTTAAAGTATACCATTCGGCTTAGAATCGTTTTCTGAGTCGATTAAGCTATGTCCGTCCGTCCGTCTGGCTGGCTGGCTGTCCATGTAAACCTTGTGCGCAAGGTACAGGTCGCAATTTTCAAGATAATTGGATGAAATTTGGCACGCACGTTTTATTTGACCCAAGGACGAAGCCTATTGAAAATGGTTAAAATCGGTCCATTATTTCACCTAGCCCCCATAGAACAGAACCCCCGAAAAGGGCTTCTGAGCTCGATAAAATACGGCACAACTAAGTTTTATAGAAGTCTTGATGACCCTGCCAAATTTCATAAAGATCGGGCCCCATTTGACCCTAGCTCCCATACAAAGTCCCCTTCAGAAAATTACTTGAATGTCCCAAATTAACTTATAAACACAAATATCGCGTTGAAATTCAGCACAATCAAATATTATGTAAATATAAATATATTCACAAAATTTTATCGGGCTTGGTACATATTTGCCCCTAGCCCCCATATAAAGCCTCTTTCAGAAAATTATTTTTTCATCCATAAATTGCTTAAAAGTATCGGAACAGGGGAATATTGAAGATAAATGCTTTATTATGAAAAATATTTCACATTTAATATTCATAACTGGTGTAGGGTATCATATGGTCGGCCACGCCCGACTATACTTTCTTACTTGTTTTAACTGAAAACATGTTTTCATTTATTATTTATTTGTTTATAAAAAAACCTAAACTCTACCAAAAAGATTTTCCCTGGTGTCTCACATTAAATCCATTTTATACATAACTTACGAATCTAGCCTCTAGTTTTCCAAAATCCCAAAAATTCTAAATGAATTTTGGTGTTACTGTGAACCATATTAATTTTTGTAATATTTGGACCCAATCTTAAACAAGAAATTATAATTTGCAACTTATCAGGATATCTGTCTTATATTCAGTATAATTGTAAAATTCTGAGAAGACCTTAGCTATTATATAAGCCCATTCTAATCGACACTTGTATGTTGGGGGGCACTTGACAAATCCATCTTCTGTAGCATGAGAACTATGCGCAACTAATCGATTATGGTAACTATAGAGGTACGGATCGTACCATGTTTTCCCTTTGAGCTTGCCGACATCATTCAAATAAAGTATGGTTAGGCTGAAGACAGCCGCTTTGACTTTGGTCATGCCTCCTCTCTGACAAAAGATTCACTAATAAAACAATAAATGACTCACTAGTTGTATGTACGGATGGATAGATATATAGATAGATAGATAGATAGATAGATAGATAGATAGATAGATAGATAGATAGATAGATAGATAGATAGATAGATAGATAGATAGATAGATAGATAGATAGATAGATAGATAGATAGATAGATAGACGATACGCTAGATCGCTCGCTAGCTCGATCGCTAGATGCTAGCTCGCTCGCTGCTCGCTCTCGCTAGCTCGCTATACTCGCTAGCTCGCTCGCTGCTCGCTCGCTAGCTCGCTCGCTCGCTCGCTCGCTCGCTGCTCGCTCGCTCCTCGCTCGCTCGCTCGCTCGCTCGCTCGCTCTCTCGCTCTCTCGCTCGCTCGCTCTAGCTCGCTCGCTCGCTCGCTCTCGCTCGCTGCTCGCTCGCTAGCTCGCTCGCTCGCTCGCTCGCTCGCTCGCTCGCTCGCTCGCTCGCTCGCTCGCTCGCTCGCTCGCTCGCTCGCTCTCGCTGCTCGCTCGCTCGCTCGCTCGCTCGCTCGCTCGCTCGCTCGCTCGCTCGCTCGCTCGCTCGCTCGCTCGCTCTCGCTCGCTCGCTCGCTCGCTCGCTCCTCGCTAGATCGCTCGCTTCGATAGCTCTGCTTTGGGTTGCACTGGTATTCCCGGTTCCTCTGTTGTTCCTATAATGTCATTACGGACGAATTTCCGATATTCGATTGGACGTTCTCCTTCTGCACGACTTAACAGATCTTTTCCGAATTGATGTTCATTACATTGGTTCGTTCAGCTGCGCTATAGATTAATTTGCCTCAGCTCCCACAATAGCAACTCAATTGTCTCAATGATGGAACGAGATATCATAGTTCTTGATCCATGTGACCCAAAACGACTTGTCCGATTGTGATAAAATTTTATATTGGCAAAGGTAAGAACATTCTAGTTTTAGTATTGAAGATATTCCTGTGAAGAGTCTATCTCTTGCGATATATACACATTTTAAAATATGTGACTGATTTTTATATTTAGTATTTTCCACAATCTTTATTGTTTATTAAACCAGTTTCGAAGTCTTTCCAGTTATACCACATGATTTTGTAAACAATTTCAAAACTTCACTAATTTTGTTTGGGTCCAAAAATTAAGAAAAGTAATTAGAACCATAGTAATTAATATTTATTCCCGTTACCTTTAATATAATATAGATACATGTTTAGATATTTTATGAAATTTATAATTTCAATTTATATTCAAAATAATATCGCGTATTGTCTTATTTCCGCACAAAGGATGTTCCGGCTTGCTGTAATCCAACAGAAATTTTATAAAAAGTTTACTTTTATCCAATTCATATTGCAATTGCTGTTCTATAGCCAAATGCTCTGCTAATTGCTCTTTCATTTCTTCTTCCAAATTATGATAACGACTATATTCACATATAAAACCATAAGGTCTGGAACATTTTTCATCATCCCATTGAATAGGATGATCTGGATCCTCTGTTGAAGTGACCTGAATGCAATATTCTTGACGAGCCAAAAAATTTGGCTGTCCATCGGCCCAATTAGTGTAGGTTAAATTATCACCGGTTGATATCCATGAATACTGGCGTGGACTTAAATCGTTCAGTAAGGCTCCAATCCATAAAGGATTTATTGTTCCAAATGTATTAGTTAATAATGCATTTAGATCATCAGATTTCTCCTGGGAATCTATTGTTACTAAACTCATATCCATGCTGGCACATTTGGTTAAGGCTTGAAACCAGTTATACTGTAATTGATTGAAAATTACTTTTATTATTTTGCATATTTTTTTTTATAAAGAATTACCTTTTCCTCATTTTCAATATAGTAGGTCTGATTCTGTTCCGATATAAACAAATTGTCAGTTGATTCTATTGCTAGAGTTTTGATAATTAAAATTGAAAATATAGTAAATATTTGAAAGGTTTCTCTCATCTTGCTAATTCGCTGTACTTTTCAAGATTGTGGGATAATTAATTTCACTTCTCGATTTATATAGAACTAATTAGTTTTGAATTTGCTACAAACATTGCTAATTCTATTTATTCTAAATCTTAATAAACCTTCGTGTAACAGTGCCATAAATTGCAACAATTTTGTAAAAGTTTTACTATTATATGTTAATAATCGTTATAAAGTAATAACGCATGGGTTTAGAAAGGTTAACGCTTTACAGATAAAACTAATTTAATTTAATTTGCTTATTACAAACATTTTGTTTAAATACAAATTAATTATCGTTCAATGTTGTAATTATAATTAGTATTATTAATTTATTTATGTATATTTGTAAATATTTGTAAGATATTACCAATTATCATTTAACTTTAAAGTAATTATTTACTTATCTAAAGGAAGAATAATAAGAGACGTTCTATTAAAAACCTACACATGTCGCAGATTTTCGAATATACTTCCATTAAAAAAAAAATTAATTTCACATATTTTTGAAAAATCTATACCACTTGAAGTACCAGGTTCACAATTAGTCCGTGCTCTTCATGCTTAGTTTTATGTTTCTAGGTTTAAAATGATAGAAATTTCAAATAGTACCTTTTGAAAAACGAAAAAGTACCAAAAAGTTCTCTTTTTTAGGTTTTTTATTTACCACCACCATCAAAAAAGTTGGGGGTATATTGTTTTTATCATTCCTTTTGTAACACATCGAAATATTCGTCTAAGACCCATAAAAGTATATATGTATATTCTGGGTCCTTATTAGATTCTAAGACGATCTAGACATGTCCGTCCGTATGCCCGTCTGTCTGTTGAAAACTCGATAGAGTCCAAATGGAAGTAGCTAGAGAGCTGAAATTTTGTACAGATACTTTTAGTTGATGCAGTTTGTTTGGTATTGAAAATGGTCAATGATTTCGCCTAGCCTCCATATAAGGCCCCCTCAGAAAATTACTTTATCGCTCATAACTGGCTAAAAGAAGCATCTACTGCGGTGAAATTCAACTCAAATATGTTTTATTGGAATTTAAATCTCTGTGTCAAATTTTATAAGGATAGGCCCATAATTGAACCAACTCCCCATATAAAGTCCCCTTCAGAAAATGACTTTAACGCTCGTAACTGTCTAAAGGAAGCATCTATGGCGGTGAAATTCGACAGAATCATATTTTATATTAACTAAAATATCTTTTCAAAATTTTATAAAGATCGGTGTATAATTGACCCTACCCTCCATATAATTCGACATAAATAAGTTTTATAGCAACTAAAATCATTTTCAATAATATAAGGATGGGTCCATAATTGACCCCACCCATATAAGGTCCTCTTCAGAAAATGACTTTAACGCTCACTACTTGCTCAAAAATGCGAGTACAGCGGTGAAATAAACAAGTTTTCTGCGAGCCAAAAACTCTCTATCAAGTTTTGTAAGGAACGGTCCATAATTTACCCTACCCCCCATATAAGGTCCTCTTCGGAAAATGACTTTAACGGTCATTACTAGGTTAAAACTGCGAGTACAGCGATGAAATTTTTATATGAGCCAAAACCTCTCTACTAAATTTTATGAGGATCAGTTATTTCTGAAAGGTTCCCTTCAGAAAATGACTTAATCTTTAATTACTGTCTCAAAAACGCGATTACTGCAATGAAATTCTCCATAAACAAGTTTTGTGCTAGCCAAAAACTTTTTATCAAATTTTATGGGGATCGGTCCATAATTGACCCCAAGGTCCCCTTCAGAAAATGACTATAACTCTCATTACTGGCTATAACGCTCAAATACGACTACAGCGATGAAATTTTACATAAACAAGTTTTGTATGAGCAAAAATGTCTTCTTCAGATATTTATGAGTATTGGTCTATAATTGACCCTAACCCCCATATAAGGTCCCCTTTAGAAAATTACTTTAACGCTCATTACATAAACAATATTTTTATTAACAAAAATTGTTCTACGAAATTTTAGGAGGATCGGTCCATATATAAGGGCGCCTTTAACGCTCATTACTGGCAATAAAATACGAGTATAATAAACAAGTTTTATGGGAACTGAAATCTTCCTACCGGATATGATGAGGATGGATCGATAAATGACCACTTCAGAAAATTACTTCAGCACTCATTAGTTACTTAAAATACGACTTAGGCGATGAAATTCGATATAAACAACTTCTTTACGAAACATAATTTATGTACAAAAGTTTATGAAGATCAGCCTATAATTGTCCCTTATATAAGATGCACTCCAGAAAATTACTTTAACGCTCATCTATTGCTCAAAAGTTCTTACAAATTACGGTAGTTTTATAGGAACTGACATTTTTCAACTGAATTTGATGAGGATCGGTCGATAACTGATCCAACCCCTCAATATCAGTTTTCTTCAGAAAATTACTTTAAACCTCATGACTGAATTAAAGATACTAGTACAGCGATGAAATTCGATACAAATACTTATTGTATAAACCGATAAGGATATGTCCATAATTGACTCTACCCTGCATATAACGACTTTAACAGAAACAGTTTATGGTTTTTAAAAATTGGACCAATAAAAATTACATTTTTAATTCGGAAGAGCGCGGTCCATACTTAAGCCCTCATTACCCTGATGTTCATATTAATATCGACATATGGTGATAAAATTCGATGGTGGGTACATATATAAGATTCAACATGGCCGAATATAACAATCTTACCTGCTTTAATTACATTTTCAGTGGGTGTCTCGGATTTTTGCTCATATTTCCGTAATTTACAGACTGAATTTTAAATAAGACACTTCTCGAGAGCATGTTTGATAGAATTGTTGAAAATTTGAATCTTTCGGAAATGGATTTCAACAAACATACATACAAATGGATATACAGATAGATATACGGACATATCTTAATCGATTCCACTATCTATAGGGGCTCGAGATATACATAATATACTTTATAGGGTCGAAAAATTGTAATGTCTATTATGAAAATTTTCATAATTTTTAAAATAAAGAAAATCACAACGAAGCTTTTGCTGGGTAATAATTTCATATTCAAGCAGTTGATAAGGTTTTTCTTAAAAAATAATAATATTTATAAAATAAATTTAATATGCGGTCATAACATTTAGTTTCGTTTAATTCACATTCCACAAACATCAAATCAATATGAAACTACTGTTCATAATTTTATTCCTGCTGACTTTCAAACATCGGGTATTTTCTATTACACCAGAAAAACTATTCACCTCGGATAGAAATAAAATTTTTTATATTGATCATGAACACAAGGTAGGTGCAAAAATTCGGAAATATATTATTATTTTCAATAAAATGTTTTTTGGAATATACAGTATGATTGGTTTGAATCTTTGGCAAAATGTGCTCGCATGGATATGTCGCTGACGGCCTTTGATTCCAAAGTCAAATGGGATGATGTACTTACGATGATACAAAAACAGTTTGGTATATTTTTAAACTATATAAAACTATGAAGTTTATATTATGTCTATTGTAGAAAAAAAACTTATTTTATGGACTAGCGGTTATGCAGTTGGTGATAAACGTCAATTTATGTGGATGACAACGGGTGAAGAATTTACATTTACCAATTGGACCACTGGAAATCCAGATTTTTCTGAGCAGAAGGAATATTGTGTTCAAATTGGTAATGGTCCGCATTACGAATGGAACGATAATAGCTGTACCAAAAAATTTGGTTTTATTTGTGAGTTCAAAGAGCAACAGTGCAAGAATTACTACAGTGATAAAATAACTCAAAATTATAATTTCTATTTTAATAAACATTAGAAAATTTGTGAATAAAGTGAGAATTATATAATTGTTGTGAAAATTTATTTAACAAATATTTGTTTTTGTGCCCTAGTCATCGGTTTATAAGATAACTAAGGACCGACCACATTCCAAAAAACATAAGTTCATAGCTGCGGGTATCAACTTCCAAAAACAAGAATATAATAATGTAGTTTTTGCGTTTGTCTGTTGAAAGCGTGAGGGTTAAAATTTCCCCTAAATACTCCATGCAGATACGGCCAATTCGTATTATTCTCCACTGTTTGAATGCCCATGAATATGTTTATTAAGCTGTAATTATGATTCAATTTTCTTAGCAACAGATAAATTGTCTGTTCAGACGCCCCCGGGCATGTTTCTTTGATGATAGACCGCTTCTTGGTGTATTGCAATCCGGGGGTAGATAGGTCCTAACAATACCTCTAGTCTGCCGGGACTATAAATTGGTGTTTACAATTCACTGCTTGGCCTAGTCCTTGCATGAATTGAAGAGAGGTTTTACCAGAGCACCACATAATCTGGTACTACGAGTGGTCAGTTGCCCACAGGACTTGTCCTGACTGTTCAGTTGATTGAGGTTCATTCAGGATCCACTTAGTGGCTGTGGTTGAGACCAAAATCGCTTGGTTAAAAGACTGATACACGGTGAAATACAATTTTCAAGATACATTTCTGTTATCGCTCCCAGATGCTTGGATCGGTACAAACTACAGAGCATGACTGTGGATTAATAAAATGTTGGATTTGAGCTGATAATGCAAAGATGGGATATACGATGTAGAGTTTCTGGTGTACTGATGTTTTGATGTATTTGACGGATGGAGTGATTTTTGATCGCTTATGATGTGCTGAAAGATGTTTTGGCAGGATGGAGGAGAAGTTGTGGTGTAAACCTTCACTGACCTTTCTTTAATTTTTCGGCAATTTTCCTTTCATGGTTGAGTATGTTAGAGTTTACTCTAAAACATGCTCAACTTGTCACAGTGGGTCTTTGTGGCCACGGAAATGAGTCTTGTCTATTAAGATGATCCGTGTTTCGGACTACCAATTACGTCCCCTAGGTGCTGTTGCCGAATCAACAGAGCCATCTCGGTAGTGTGGTTGAGCGACATATAAGGTTTTACCTTGTCGGGGTTAGATTAAGCTTGCTTATGACACCTGTTCTTTCTCAACGGGACTACTATGGCAAGAGATTAGATAGCTCGAACACTTGAGCATAGTGCTTATACATGGACATGAGCAAAGTGCTTATACATGGACCTGTACAGAAATTGCGACCTGATTTCTTTATTAAAGATTGAAGGGGCGGTCGAGAGTCGTCACGAAGCTCACCCAGTAGTTGAAAAAGATCACCGTGAGATAGGCCAACACGTCTGGTACTCACGTAAAGTACTTCGACTTCAATGTCTGTTCAGACGATTGTAAGAAAATCTTAAAATCTCAATGTCAGATAATTGTCAGACAATAAATTTATCTGTCAACAAAAATTTTTAAGTTCAAACTTTTGTCAGATCCTTGTTTAGACATTAACAGAACTGTTTCACTTTTACTACACTTTTGTTTGTTTCTTTTAATGGACAATGTTGCCATTAGAAATAATTTATCTGTCATTGTCAGATTCATAAAATTTGCACATCAGAAGTTATGTATACCCGGTTGTCGGAGAAATGTCCAACAAATGCCTAATAACCGAGTGAACTTACAATTTTTGTCCTGCAAAATTGTCAGAAAAATCATTGCAAAATAATAATATTGTCAAATGACAATCGTGTAAACACATTACGTTGCCATTACCAGATCATTGTAAGATAATAGCTTGACAATTTTTAATTTCTATTTAAATTGTCACAAAATTATTTCATATTAATCATGCAACGTAATGTGTTTATACATTTGTCAGATGTCTGACTAAATATTATTGATTTACTGACAATGCTTTTTCTGACAACGTTGTCAGAAATTTCTGAACAATTTTCTGACAACCATGGATCCATACATGGTTTTACTGTAAAGTAAATCTAATAATATTCGACCTCTATATATGGATTCGTTCTAACAAATAAATTATAATCGATTCAATACGATCCAATACGATCCGTAATTGGTCCACGGCTTGGATCAGCCTTTTTGAAAATCTAAAAACCTTATTCCGTAAAACAGTAGTGTAGAGTGTAATATAGTTGGGCATGTTCGGCTATAATGTCTCACTGTATATCTTTTTCTTCTATATCATAACAAAAATAACAACTTCCTCTTAATATTTTTGCAAATTATTTATTATAATATTATGATATTTATAATTCTTATCATCTGTATTGCCCGAACATTCTTGTGGTTTAAACTCACAAATGAAACCAAATTTTTTCGTACATTTATTATCGTTCCACGCCATTGTGGCAGACCAACCAATTTGCATACAATATTCCTCACTGTTAGTGAAGTCAGGGTTTGCACCATGCCAATAAGTATAAGTAAATTCCTCGCCAGTGGATACCCATCGAAATTGGCGATTTGAGCCAACAGCATAGCCACCCACCCAGAGAATAATATTTTTTCCTAGAAAATTGATACATGAAAGTAAAAATATTAAAATATTAAAAATATTATTTAGTTTCACATGAAATTACCAAAGGCCTTCTTTACAACATTATTGATTTCCTCCGATTTGGGTTTGGAATCAATTGTCAACAGAGTCATATTCATGCTTGCACACTTCGTTAGGGATTCAAACCAATCATACTAAAATGAATTAGTATAAAAGTATTGAAAATTATATTGGAAATTCATATTTTCCTATAAAATTCTACTAACCTTATACTCATTTTCTATGTAATAGAATTTTTTACCATCAGCGCTATACAATTTTTCCTGTGTAATAGACCAGACCTGTTCCAAAGCCGAGAGTAACAGCATAAGTTTTAAAAAGTTTAAAATTTTCATATTGATTTATAAAAGTTTTGAATGTAACTGATATCCCCTACATGTTTTGTAGTTCTTTATATATAAAAATTGTACGTATTAGGGGTGCTGCTCTTCTTTTAGAATATATTGCACGAAATAAAGTTTAAAAATATTAATATAAATAAAAACTGAGTGATTTTATTAAACTAATGATGTGAATAAACTTTTAAGTTTTAATCAAAAAGTATACCCTTAATAAATTCTATACTATAACCTTGTGCAAAAACAAATATGTATGTATGTGGTTTATTCTTATCAAAATTTCTAGTTTTAGATTTTACACAGAATTACTAAGATTAAAAAATCCCCTTTAAATTTGAAAAATAAATTCCAAAAATTATTCTCCTTTTAATTTAAATAATTAATTTAATTATTAATAAAATAAATTAAAATTATATTTTGGATCGGGGTTCTCATCTTATTTAGACCGGAAGAGTTAGGGGGCTTATATTTGTTAAAAGTTGAAAATACATAATATCGGTCCACGATTTCTCCTAGCCAAGAATACCACTAACATATTTGTATTTATATAGATTATACAGCAATCTTGATAAAAGGTCCCCTTAAGTTCCATAAGCTCTTTTTACTAAGTATCGGTTCGGTTAAGGATCGGTTCTTGATTGACCCATATAACTATACAATAATGTTTAGTACGTCGTATATCGGTACATATTTTACCCAAGACCCAATATAAGATCCCTTTAAGTCTCACAATCTCTCTCAAATAAGTATCGGATCGGTTAAAGATTGGTTCATAATTGATCCATATAACCTTTCTTACATAAAATATTTTTTTTATACATAAATCGTTCAAAAATTATAGTAGTACTATAAATTTCAACAAAATTATATATTTAAAACTTTTTTTAAATTCCATAGCGCTTGGTCCATTTTTAACCCAAGTCTGAAATTAAGCTGACTTTCATATTTATATAGTAGATATGTAATAATACTATTCAGCATAAATCTACTAAATATTTAAATCACAGTAGCAATTGACCAAAGGATCGACCCTTAATAATGTAAGTCCGTGCAAAAGGGTCGTTTAAATTAAATTTAAAACAAATATGAAAGTATAGTCGGGCATAGCCTACACCGGTGAGTATGTTAAAAATGTGGATTTTTTTTTTTAATAACAAAGCATTTAATTTGAGTGTTATATTCGGTTGTGCCGAATCTCATACACTCACCATCAAACCATCAATGATCTTTAAAGTAATTTTCTTATGGGCCGATCCTCAATACATTTGGTAGAGAGATTTTAACTCGTATAAAACATATGTGTGTCGAATTTCATCGTTTTTTTTTTTTGGTAATTTTATGCCAGTAATGAGCTTTAAAGTCATTTTCTGAAGGGGAGCTTATACGGGGGTCAATCATATTCAGATTCTCATAAAAGTCAGTACAGATGTTCTGGCTCGTAAGAAACTTACTTACTTACTCGTACTTTCAAGGCAGTAATGATCATTAAATAAATTATCTGAAGGGGATCTTATAGGGGGGTAAGATCAATTATGGACCGATCCACATAAAATTTGGCTAAGAGATGTTGGTTCGCAAGGAACTTACTAGAATTTAATCGCTTTACTCGTATTTTTAAGCCAGTAGTGATCGTTTAAGTACTTTTTTGTAGGGGACCTTATATGGGGAGTAGGGTCAATTATGGACCGATACACATAAAGTTTAATACATAAAAGATATTTATGTCGAATTTCATCGCCATACTCGTTCTTTTAAAACAGATATGACCGTTAAAGCTGTTTTTCAGGGGGTCCACTTGTATGGGGGCTATCCGAAAACGTGAACCAATATAGCCCATTTTCAATACCAAACAAACCTTACCTATAGAGAATATTTGAGGAAAATTTCAATCTCGCTCGTTCCGTTCGGACTCTATCGTGCTTTCAACAGACAGACAGACGGACGGACATAGGGAAAGACATGGCTAGATCGTCTTAGAATTTAATAAGGACCCAGAATATATTTACTTTTGTAGATCTATGACCAATATTTCGATGTGTTACAAACGGAATGACATGGGCTAGGGTCAAATTAGGCCCGGTCATTACGAAAATCGGCTGTATTATATAGACTTGTATAAAACTAAGTTGTGCCGATTTTTGTTGAGATACTAGAACATTTAACATATGTAACTATGAGCATAAAAGCCATATTCGGGGTGTACGGTTGTCCTCGGGTCAAAAGAAAAGTATGTGCCAAATTTCATCAAATAATCTTGAAAATAGCGACCTGTAGCGTGAGCATAAAGATGACATGGACACACAGACAGACAGACAGGCGTAGGTGCAGGACCAATATTTTTGAGTGTTACAAACATCAGCACAAAAGCATAATACCCTCCTGACTGTAGGGTATAAAAATATACCATATTGTTGCTGTTGTTGTTTTATTTTCCAGTTTGTCAAAGCAATTTTTTTAGGAAATTTGTGGAGTTTATCTCGGATTTTTACTCATATATTCTTTATATACATATATGGACCGAAGATTCGGATCTTGTAGATATCTCGGGTCATCTGAATTCTAACACACACAGACATACGGACATGGCTAAATCGACTCCGCTATCTATAATTACTCGGAATATATATAAAATATGATTTTACTTTTTTGAAAAAGCATTGTACCAAAACTTATGAAAGTACTAGGTAAAATCACAGCTTCACGATTTCACATTCGCGCTCATAATTTTAACCTGTGTATCATAAATATTCTCCATGATATATGATGACACATTTTATAGTTTAAAAAACACTAAAATTAACATAAAAAACAAATAAAATCATTGTTGCGGTTTTCTTTTTTCAAACAATTTTAAAATCCACAACGAATTAAGTAATAAAATACACAAGGATACAAAAGGATCCTCTCAACATTAGCAAACAAGAGAAAATGAAACAATAGTGTAAATGTGTAAATGTGTAAATTACACAACTACACACTCGAGTAAGTAATTTACATCTTATAGATTTATAACTTTTGCAAATGTTTAGAATATTTTAAATTGTTAAACTAAACATTACAAAATTAAATTGAAAATTTATTTAAATTTCTTTATTAAGGGACTTTAAAGTGACATTTTCAGGCACATATAGAGTATAAATATACATTTCAAAATAGTCATATGTGAGCGAAATTGTATCTGTATCTGTTAGTTAATGTCTGTATATTTATAAATATGACTATAATGTGATTTATTACCATAATTTCAAGTTGAAAAACGTGCGGGATTTTTCAGTTTTAGGAAAAATTTAAATTTTCATTTATACTCTCTATATAGTGGCAGTACATTCTATTCCACCCCTCTTCTATGAAATTTAAAACATTTCATATACATTTCTACATATTTATTTCGAAAAAGCCAATTGATTTACTTTGATTTTACATTTTAAATTGCTGCGATTATATTGTGTGAGTGTGTGTGTGTGTGCATTTTCGAGGGTTACATATAATTTTTGTATGATTTTGAAAAGGTTTTGAAAACCAATTTCCAAACATAATTCCATTAGATTATAATAGTAAACAAAGGAAAAATAAAACACAAAATAGCTAGATTCGCTGAGTATCAGTTACATACGTGGCCAATTTTTCATAAATATTTTCAGCATAAAAAAATTCAATACATTGCAGATAGATATTTATTCTGCACAGAAGGTATAATAACGACATTGTTAATAATGGCAATTGGGAATATGTACTCTATATATATATTTACTAAGAGGGAGGAGAGTCTATGAGTTATTGTTTTTCTTTTGTAATTTATATTTTTAAGAATGTACGACAAAAAAACGTCAACTACAATTTAAAAATGAAGTGTTTTTGGGAAAAAGTGGAAAAAGCAGAGTTAATCATACAACATTGAAGGAAATATTTAAACCGCAGTAATATTTTGTGTTAACAAAGAGCAGTAGCGTAGTTTTTAAAGATGAAAGTGTATTAAACGAGTTGTAGTATACAAAATGGATCACGTTATTTATGTAAGTTTAAAAATCTATCAGACAGACAGACAGACAGACAGACAGACAGACAGACAGGCAGGCAGACAGATAGATAGATAGATAGATAGATAGATAGATAGATAGATAGATAGATAGATAGATAGATAGATAGATAGATAGATAGATAGAAGATAGATAGATAGATAGATAGATAGATAGATAGATAGATAGATAGATAGATAGATAGATAGATAGATAGATAGATAGATAGATAGTAGATAGATAGATAGATAGATAGATAGATAGATAGATAGATAGATAGATAGATAGATAGATAGATAGATAGATAGATAGTAGATAGAAGATAGATAGATAGATAGATAGATAGATAGATAGATAGATAGATAGATAGATAGATAGATAGATAGATAGATAGATAGATAGATAGATAGATAGATAGATAGATAGATAGATAGATAGATAGATAGATAGATAGATAGATAGATAGATAGATAGATAGATAGATAGATAGATAGATAGATAGATAGATAGATAGATAGATCGATAGATAGATAGATAGATAGATAGATAGATAGATAGATAGATAGATAGATAGATAGATAGATAGATAGATAGATAGATAGATAGATAGATAGATAGATAGATAGATAGATAGATAGATAGATAGATAGATAGATAGCTAGATAGATAGATAGATAGATAGATAGATAGATAGATAGATAGATAGATAGATAGATAGATAGATAGATAGATAGATAGATAGATAGATAGATAGATAGATAAATAGATAGATTAATAGATAGATAGATAGATTAGTTAGTTAGTTGGATAGTAGTAGTAGTTAGTAGTAATTAGTTAGTTAGTTAGTTAGTTAGTTAGTTAGTTAGTTAGTTAGTTAGTTAGTTAGTTAGTAGTTAGTTAGTTAGTTAGTTAGTTAGTTAGTTAGTTAGTTAGTTAGTTAGTTAGTTAGTTAGTTAGTTAGTTAGTTAGTTGGTTAGTTAGTAGTTAGTTAGTTAGTTAGTTAGTTA